TTGCTGCTGCTGCGGTTTTGACGCAGCAGCAGCAGCAGCAGCAGCAGCACCTGAGGGCAGCTCCGTTTGTTCCGCTAGACATTCCCGCAGTGTACACGCCTTTCGGCGCTGCCTACAGCAGCAGCAGCAGCAGCAGCAGCAACAGCAGCAGCAGCAACAGCAGCAGCCACAGCGTTAGTTGGATGGCAGCTTTGATTGCTCTTTCCACAGCCCCAACTGCTCTTTCTTTTACTGTCAAGGAATTGCTGCTGCGCTCTTATGAAAAGAAGCAGCAGTTGCTGCTGCAGGAGCAGCAGACTGCTGCGGACGACGACAGCGGACGCTTGCTGCCGCTGCTGCAGCAGCAGCAGCAGCGGCAAGCACAGCAGCAGGAGCAGCAAGAAGAACAGCTGCTGCACCAGCAAAGCGGCAGAACTGGAGGCCCCAACCAGCAGCAGCGGCAGCAGCAGCAAGCACAGCAGAGCGCCCGCAGCAGCAGCAGCAGCAGCAGCACTGCAGCAGCAGGAAACAGAAGCAGCTTAGCGCTGCTGCTGGTCTGTTGGGGTGTAACAGTCAGCTCTCTCTTTTGGTGCATCATTTTGGCTCCCGTGAATGCATTCATTGTGAAGGTGATAACAATGTTACTGCTGCTGCTGCTTCTGTTGCTGCTGCTGCTGCTGCAGTGTTGCTGCTGCACTGCATCTGCTTCTCGTGGCGATGTTGCTGCTGCTTCTTTTGAAATGATAGCTAATTTTGTTACTGCTGCTGCTGCTGCTGCTGCTGCTCTCTTGCTGCTGCCGCAGCAGCTGCCGCAGCTGCTGCTTATTGCTTGCCGTTTCGTTCAAGTCATATCCTATGAACTCTGCTTCTCTCTTTACTATTATTTATTTATTTATTTATTTATTTGTTTTTTATTTATTATCTTCTTTTACTTATTATTTATTAGTTGCTTTTTACTTCTTTATCTTGTCACCAATTGCTGCCTTTTATTTCATCTTGGCCTGCACCCTGATGGCTCTCCTCCCAACCCCTAAACCCTAAACCCTAATTTAGGGTTTAGCTTGCTTTGTTGTGCGCGCGCAGGCGCCTGGCGACACAGTTGCCGGGTATTTGGTCTCAGGGTTTTCCTGCTTTCTGGGGGTGGCTGGTGGAAACGCTAGTTTAGGGTTTGGGGATGCAGAAGTGGGGGATTTAAAAAGGGGTTTATTTATTTCTCCTTTTTATTTTGCTGCTGCTGCTGCTGCTGCTTCCAAGTCCCTCTGCCAGCACGCGCCCCTCGCCTACGGCGTCTACGCCCTCATCAACTTGCTTTTCAATTTCGCCGCGCTTAGTACGCAAACCCTAAACCCTAAACCCTAAACCCTAAACCCTGATTGCAGACTTGGCGCCTCGAGAGCGCTACTGGGGTAAACCCTGCAGGCTCCCTGCGCTCTTCAGCGGAAAGCCCTGCGGGTCTAAACCCTAAACCCTAAACCCTAGCGAACTAAACCCTAAATCCTAAACCCTAGCGAACTAAACCCTAAACCCTAATCCCTAAACGGGTAGCCTGAAAGGTAATTCTAAATATCAAGTTCTGAATTGGGAGCGCTGTAAACCCTCGGACCCAAACCCTAAACCTTAAACCCTCGGGCCTTCGCAGCTGGGGGCTTTCTAAAGCTTCAAGCTCAAACCCTAAACCCTAAACCCTGATCTCCGCAGCCAGAATTTCCGGCAGTTTCCCTCCTCTCATTTATCATCATTTACTTATTTTTATTTATTTATTTATTTATTTTTATTTGCTGCCGCTGCTGCTGCAGCACTGGTTGCTACTGGCTCCGCCCTGCTGAGCTTTTTGGCCATGAAGGCAATTTTGCCTTTTGCTGTTTTGCTTTACGCGCTGCTGCCGCTCCCGCTGCTGCCAGCAGCAGATGCTGCTGTGTCTGCTGCAGTCCTGGTGAGTCTGCTGCTGCTGCTGCTGCTGCTGCTGCTTCCGCTGCTGCCAGCAGCAGGTACCACTGTTTCTGCTGCAATTCTGATGCGTTTGCTGCTGCTGCTTCTGCTGCTGCTGCTTTTCCGTGTCATTTGCCGCTGCTGCTGATCTTGCTGCTGCTGCTGATCCTGCTGCTGCTGGATGCATTTTGGATTTTAGATTCAGTTTCGGCTGCTGCTTAGAGCATTTTGCAGCAAATTGCTATCGCTGCTGCTTTCCATAAATGCATTTTTCAAGAAATGGACAAACAAAAGTTGAAAACATTCAAATTAAAACGAATACATATTTGTATTTAAATGCATTTAAACAATTTGCATGCATGCAGCATTTGCAGTTCACTGTATCGCCTAGTCAGCACTTTAGGGCTGTTTGCTTCTTCTGGATTTCAACTTTTAATTGAACAAAGCTGCATTTCTTGCGGTTAAATGACTCAAATAATCAAATATTTTATTCTTTAACTTGATTTAATTTAATTTAATTTTATTTTATTTGCAGGTTTCTCTTTCTTTAATTCTTTCGGGAGTCGTTTTGTTCCACCTGGAAAGCGTGAGGTGTATGAACACCTACGCCGGCGGCAACCCGCCCTGCTGCTGGCCGCTGCGGGGCTGCCGATTCTTGAATTAATTAAGTTAATTAAGTGAAGTGAATGAATTTAATTAATTAAATTAATCAATTTTTTTAATTTAATCAAGTTTTGCTAATGGTGCAAGGTCTGGGATTCAAATTCCGGGCAGAATGCCCTTCTGGCGGCGGCGCCACTCACAGTTGCACACAGCAGCAGCAGCAGCAGCAGCAGCAGCAGCCGCAGCAACGAAGGCCGCAGCATGGACATCTTCACCGTCAGCAAGAAAGATGCAGCAGCAGAAGCTGCACAACCAGCAGCTGCAGCAGCAGCAGCAGCAGCAGCAGCTTGTGCTCTGCCGCATGCAGTGGGAGCCCCAAAGTTTACGGGCAAAAGTAAAAGCGTGCAGCCTGAGGTGTACGTACACCTCACGCCACTGAAGTTATTTTTTTTGTTCACTGATATGTTTCAGGGTTTTGAGTTTAGGGTTTAGGGTTTAGGGTTTAGGGTTTGGGGTTTATGGCGGTGGCACGGAACAGCAGCGTGGAAACCCGGAACCCCGCCATTGCATTTGCTGCTTCACCTCTACTTTAGGGTTTAGGGCTTATGGTTTAGGGTTTAGGGTTTAGGGTTAAGCTCTGCCGTCCAGTCCTAGGGTTTTGGTCTTATCCTCAAACCCTAATCATCGCCGCAAACCTAAAATTCCATTCGTTGACTCTTGCTTGGACTGCTGACAGTTCTAGGGTTTAGGGTTTAGGTTTTAGGGTTTAGGGTTTAGGGTTTAGGGTGTAGCTGGGCCTCCCACTCATGACCGCAGCCCGCGCTACTTTTTGCTGCTGCATGTAGCAGCAAGGAATCCAACAAACCAATTTCGAATTTTAATTATTTAATTTATTTAAATAAATAAATAAACAAAATAAACAAATTAGAAAAGCGAATATTCATTCATTTGCACTTATCTCAAGGTGCTGTACGGGGCAGAGGTGTACCGAAATATACATAAGTGCATGTTTATGAATTTGTGTCTGATTCACCCTAAACCCTAAACCCTACCTAAACCCTAAACCCTAAATTAAACCCTAAACCCCACTCGCTGGTCCTTCCCGCCTCCCCAAACAGGCCTTCTACGGAACCACAAACCCTAAACCCTAAACCCTCACGAAAACCGGGGGTTGTGCGGAGGGGCGACTTTATCTCTTTGAATTTAAATCACTTTAAAATGCTTATTTCAATTTTTATTTTTAAAATAATAAAAATGATTAATTCAGTTAATGGCATTGAAAACTTTTGTAAAATCCGCAGCTGCCAGTAGTGCGCTGCTTCCAGTGTACGTACACCTTACGCTCAGGCCCAAATGTGGGGCGGCTTTGGTGCTGCTTATTGTGCTGCTGCTGCTTCTGCTGCTGCTTCTGCTGCTTGTGCTTCTGCTACTGCTGCTGCTGCTGCCTCTGCTGCTGCTGCTTTTGCTGCTGCGGGTGGCTTTTTACTGTCAGGGTTTAGTTCATTTGAAGGGCTGTGGCTGCAAGCAGCTGGGGTGTGTGTACACCTCACGCATGCGTGCATGCATCTTGTGCCCTCTTTGCAGTCCTTTCCAGCGCAGCAGTTGCGCTGATTTGCATTTAAGAAATTAGGGTTTAGGGTTTTAGGTGCCTGAGAGTTTTTCTTCACGCAGCTTTCGCGCAGAGAGGGAGCAGACAGCTGAAACTAAATAGCAGCAGCAGCAGCAGCAGCAGCAGCAGCAAAACCTTCGTCTGGTTTGGCAGCATCTGCAGCTGCGCCGGGCCCCACAGGGCCCCTGCAGCTGCTGCTGCATGCAAACGTGGCAGTGGAAAGCCCCAAGCTGCAGCAGGGCCTCTGTAGCTGCTGCTGCATGCAAATGCGGCGGCGAAAAGCCCCACGCTGCAGCAGCAAGAGGCCCCCTGGGGCCTCCTGGGGCCTTTTGCTGCTGTGCGTCGCTGTGGGGTCCCCGCCTTGCCGCCGGGCTGCAGGTGACTCTAGGGCTTTGGGGTTTAGGGTTTAGGGTTTGGGGCCTCCGTGGTTAGGGTTTAGGGTTTGGGGTTGTTTATATTGAAGTGAGCCTCTACGAAACACCTCAGCAGCTTTTTAGGGAAATTGATCTGCAGCAAAACTTGAGGAGCAGCAAACAGAAGAAGCTGAAAGCAGCTTCTGCTTCCCCGTGTGTGTCCAGAGCCCCTGTTTCGGGCTGACTCGGGGGGAGAGAATCTTTTTACTTTTTTCTAATATGAATTAATTAAATAATGTATTTGTTTGAATATAATTATGAATAAGTCTGAGGCAAACGAGCTCTCCTTCAGCTTTTTTGAATTGCCGCTGCGCTGCTGAAAGCAGAGCAGCATTGCGGAAAGCTGCTGCTGCAGGCGCGTGGTAGCGCGGGGGAGAGCTGGAAGGTTTAAATTTCCATATATCTTGGAATTTAAATTAAATAATAATTTAAATAAAAGATTTTAAACATTCCAGAGGCCCCAAGCGGCCGCTGGAAAGGCAGCTGCCGGCGCTGTGCCAACACGCCCCACCCAGCCAACCCCACCAGAGAGCCTTGCTTAAGCCCATGGGGCTCCGCGAGAACTGCAGCAGCAGCTTTCTCGAAATTCTTTTGTTTTCTTTCGATTAAATTCAGCAGCTTCTCGCGGCTGCTTCCAGGGGCTGTTCCCACGGAAGAGAGCGGAACCGCCGCCGCTGCGCCTCGGTCGCTGACGACACCCTCCCACGGGCTGTGAGTTCTCTTGTAAAATTCAGCACAGCGCGGGTTTTTCTGCATTAAATGTAAGAAAAAGATCCTTTTAAATGCATTTTCCCGAGAACTTTTCCCAAAGAGCGCAGGAAAAACGCAAGACATCCTCTTTCTGCATGCGTTCAAATGCTCGCCATTGCGTGTGCAGCTCCGAGGGCGCGGATCTACGGCTCTCGCGGCTCCAAGCTCCTACTTTTCTCCTTATTCTTTCTCCATAATTTTAATTATGCTATTTAACGGCAAATGCCTTTGCATTCCCCCGGCCACTGCAGCGCGCGGCGCGTGTTTCCCCCACCCAACAATGCCTGCAGCGAATCGAATCTTCTACAAACCCTTCTGCTGACGGCCCGCTTTCATTTCAAAGCTCCTACTTGCCTCTTTTTTTTCTCCTGTGCATGCAGGCGCCCGGAAGCTTGTTGGTCCTACGGGTGCGGAAGATCAGCTGCGGCACACAGCGCTCACCTCGCGACGCTGCAAGCCGCTCAAAAGAGGAAATCTCGCGTTTTTGAGACATCCAAACCTGAAAAAGTTTAAAGCGCTTCTCCAGGGAGCCTTTTATTGCAGGATCTGTGCGGATCTGCTTGTGTTTCAGCGACTTGGGCACCCCAGCCTTTCCTGTGTTGCAATGGCGCACCCTATAGCCTCTCATGAACGCAGTGTAAGTGTCGATTTCGCGGCTGATCTCTGAGAGTTTGATTTGATTTTAATAAATATCTGACTTTCAGCGGTTCATATCCAGGAATATCAGGAATATGCGCGAAGATTCGTTTCTTGCAAGATTCACCTTCACGAGCTTTGCCGTCTGTTTCCGACAGTTTCGCTCCCCCTTTTCTGCATTTACACCCGTCAATTTCGCATTCAGAGATGCTTTAAAGGCGTACAAGTATCTAAATCTTGCAATGGGGAGCTCAAAGATGCAAAAAAGAGGCTTCACCATTGCTGCTTTCTGCTGCTGCGCTGCAGCTGCACACCATGAGCCAGGACTTGGCTTTTGTAGAAGAGCGCCTAGTTCGCGCCCTGCAAAAGCCCCAAATGGACCATTCGCTGACGCAGACCCTCGACCGGCTGCGGGCGTTGCGGGAAATGGTCGCGGCCATTCAGGCCAAGCACTCGGTGGGTTTTTTCCCTGGCTGCGGCTTCCCGCAGCCTCCGGAAGCTCCAAAAGGCCTATATTTGCGTTAAAAACATTTAATCTAGATGCTACTTTCGATTTAATAAGGGGATCTCGAGATTTGAGAGCCTGGACTGCGAATTGCAACAATGCGCAGGAGGTGACCTCCCTGTGGGATAGCATAGCAGCGGCGGCTCGCAGCCAGGCCTGCTGCTTGCAGTACCTGCAGACTTTACAGGTGAGGCTGCAGCAATTCCAAATACCCTTAAGCAGCTTTTCAATACCTTTGGAGGCCCCATTTTGTGCTGCTCTATGCCCGCGATGTGGGTAACTGGGGGGCGGTTTGGGCTGCGGGTTTGCTGCAGGCGGTGGCGGAAGCAAACGGCTGCTCGCAGCAGCAGCCAGAGGAGCTGTGCGCGTCAGCTGAGGAGTTTGCGAAGTACTTTTGGTCGAGAGATTTTTCTATGGACAGCAGCCAGTAAGTTCAGAACAGCCGAACGGCGCTGCATGCATGCGCTGCACGCATGCTGGCGCTGCATGCATGCGCGCAGCTGCAGCGCGAAAAGAATGAATTCAAATTCAGCGCGAAACGGAATAATTCAAATTTAGTTTCCTTGTGATTGCAATCAGGCCGTACCTGCCTACGCTGTCTTTCGCCGGTAGCAGCTTCAGCAGCAACTTGGCGCTGTTGGGCGCCGGGCAGGAGAGCCCGTCTATGCAGGTGAGGCTTTGGCCGCGGTTACTCACTGTATTGTAGATATTTTGCATTTAATAAGTAGCAGCTTTAATTTTTTTGCATTATTTCGCTCAATTACGCGGGAAGAAGCCGCAGTGCTGCTGCTATTTGCTCAATTCAAGCAGCCAATCGGGCACCAGCTGCCTGCTGTCTTTGCCGTGCGTAGGGAATGAGAGGTTCCGCAGGGCCGGCGAAGGAGCCGGAATGCTCCTGAGGTCATTCTTTTGCGCGGCTTCGAAAGCTGAATCCAGCGCTTGAAAAAGAATAAATGCAGCGGCTTTTGAATTGAGTCTTTAGGTGTAGTTTAGCCTTCTGAGACTGGTGCGGAGGTTTCCTCCCAATTGCCCAACTCCCACTCGGGCGTGGAGTGCGCCCGCCCCCGGGGCGCACAGAGGGGCTTCCCCAAACCCCTCAAGGTGGGAGGCGCTGCTGGCCAGTCCACTCAAAGGGCTGCCAGAGCTCTTCCCAGCATGACAGTTGCTTGTTCGCGCTCGCAATTTTGTATGAGCGGCCCCCGGGCTGCTGCTTCGCGCGTCGCTTTGCTGCAGAGCGGAAAGCGACGCGAGACTCGCAGCAATTGCGCAAAATTCAGATGCCAGACTTGCTTTCCAGCTCGCATCCAGAGGTTCTTGCGCGCGCCCGCCCAAGAGCACCTTGTGCCCTGGCGGGAACTTTCTGAAACGGACTGCCCTCAACTGGCAGCTCCAAGAGTGACAAGCTTTGCTGCGCCGGCGCACACAAACTCAAAGGTCTTCTGCAGACCCATGATAATGCAGACGCAGTTCTTTCCACTGTAGACGCAGCTTCACGCCTTGTGCAGCTTCGTGCTGCAAAGCTTCATGCAGCACGCTGCCGCCCGTAGCTGATCCGCCGCCGCCTTCACGTCTTGCTCGGCCTTTTCAGTCTTCTTGTCCTGCATTCAAAGTAGTTCAGACTTTCGCAAACTTTTATGTCCTGTTTAGCTCATTGGACTGAAGCCTAACTCTCCAGAAAGGCAACGGCTGCTTCAGAAAACTCGTTTCGTGTGCTGTTCCTCTTCTTCGGTGACAAGTTGCCTTTGATTCTTGTGCATTACCGGCTAAAAAACCACAAAAATTACTTCTAGCGGCTCTTTTTCATTCAACTTACCTTCACGTTCTTGAGCTGACCGGCGGCGAACGCCTGCACAGTATTGCGGTAATCCTCCAGAGCTTCCTGAAAAGCGACGATGGATGAATTGGCCTCAGGGGCTGTTTGCAGCAAAGCAGCAACATCGTTTTCGTGCTGCTGCATGCATTTACTCCACTGCTGCATCTCCTGCTCCTGCGGCATCTGCTTCGAGCTGCTCTGGCCACTTTCCGCCGCAGCAGCAGCAGCGCAGTTCAAGTATGAGCCTGTGCACACCAGCGCTCTTTGTGGCACAAAAAGCTGCAGCCTAGAACATCAACTTCTTCTTTTAGCGAAAATAAATTAAAACTGCTCGCTTTCTTTTGCTTGGGTCCGTAGTGGCGGCTGCCAGATAGTGTTTGCAACAAGAAATCCAGGAAAGAGCTGCCTGACTCCTTGGGTGCTCACCTGTATCCTTAATCGCAGCCTCAGCCACGCGCCCCAGCTCCTTCCGGACCTTTTCGAATGCGCTTTGAAGCGCTGCAGCTGCTGCTTCCTCTTCTGGAGTTGTAAACCTGCGAAAGAGAGAAGCGGGAGAAACTTCAGATAAAAAAAGTTGAAGCAGTTTGAGAGGCCTGATGCTGCCACGCCCATTCATGCATGCAAAAAGAAAAAGCAGCAGGTTTTTCCTTACCTCAGCTTCCAGCGGCTCAAGAGAGTGGCTATGACGAGCACCGCCAGGAGCAGCAGCAGCAGCAGCAGCTTCTTGAAATGTTCAAGATCTACGGGGTAGGGATAGTCAAACGTGACTGTGAGCGAGCGCTCTTCGTGCGGACTCGGAGAAGCTGAAAAAGAGTGCCATTTCAGAGTCAAAGCTGGCCGCGAAGTGACAATATCGAACCACCATTTGATCCTTTTCTCCTCCACCGAGTCGAACTCGACTGGCGAAGAGCAGCGGATGTTCGTGGCACCTGAATCGCAGCGCAAACGGCCTCACATCTCGCGGCTGCTGCTATTAAAAACTAAAACTTAATCCCTAAAGGCTGCTGCGCTGCAGCTGAGCTTTGCGTGAGAAGTGCAAAATTCAAAAATGCAGCAACAGGCGCACCCGTCGGCAAGGCCACTGTCAGGGAAAGCTGCTCAGCGTAGGTCTCGCTGAAAATCGGCTCCAGAGGAATTTTCAAAGACACAGATGAGCTGCTGCTGCCGGCTTCTTGCTGTAGCAGCAGCGAGCTCACGGGCTGGCTGTATATCACTCTCAAGTCAAAGTTCCAACCCCCAAGAACTGGAAATCTTGGCCAGACCTGCAGCACCTTAATACTTACAAAATAATATACTGAGAAAACCCCAAAAAATCCGCTTTTAACATCTTCGCTGAGCCGAATGATTTGCTTTCGTTGAGGAATTTGCGAATGCATAGCAGCAGATGCGAAGTAAGAGGGATATGCTGCATGCGCTGCTTCTCAGCAACTCGAATGCATGCACAACAATCTATGTCCTTTTTCTTCTGCTGCCATAAAAAGACACGGAGAGAAACTACTTTAAACTGCAGAACTCGAAATTGAAACGGAACTGCGCGAACAGCAGCTGCAGACGAAAGAACCAGCTGCTGCAGCTGCTGCAGCTGCTGCGCCGCTGCAGTTGCTGCAGCTGCTGCAGCTGCTGCGTGTGTGTGGCGCTGCAGTGGTTACCTCGAGGCGGGTAGAGAGCGGAGCTCCTTCAGGCCCCTCTCTGGCTGCGAAAGCAGTGGTCAAGTTTCCTGCGGAGTCCGCGACATCTAAGTTGAAAACATCTGGAGGAAGAGTTGCATGCAAGTCGAAAAGCACGTGGGAAGGCACTGGGGGCGCCCGCGGCACTTCTTTGTTCTGCAGCGCCAGCCGGGGGGTGCCGGGGGCCAGGCCCTGCAGCAGCGCCACGCTGATCGGGTTGAAGGGGCCCTGCAGCCGCAGCAAGCAGCAGCAGCAACAGCACACTGCAGCCAGGCCTGCCTAGGCGCAGCAGCAGCTGCTGCTGCAACTCGCCAGGCCGCAGCAGCAGCTGCTGCCGGTATAAAGGATCAACTGCAGCAAACTAGAAAAAGCCCAAACGCCCGCATGTAACTCTCTGCAGGCAAGCCCCAAGGCTGCATGCGCTGCATGCAGGCTGCCGTACACTGCGCAGGGTCTCGCGGGCTTTGAATTGCTGCTAGACGTTCTGACTATTCGAATGTGGGCAGCAGCAACAGAGGCCCCAGAGGATTTGAGGGCCGCGGGAGGGGCCCCAGGGCTTTTGAAGCCACACGGGGGACCCCCGGGGGCCCCTGGGGGCACTGTGAGGGGCCCAAGTGCTTTGGGGGCCCCTGGGGGCCCCGTGAGGGCCCCCGGAGGTATGTATGGGGGCCTCTGGGGCCCCCGTGAGTGGCCCCTCGGCTTTGGGGGCCCCTGGGCATACCTGCTGGAGCGCAGCGTCGTTGTGGAATTTGTAGAAGTCCTCACTGACAGCAGCGCCGCTGAGAGGGAGCAGCAGCAGCCGCTCTGCAGCAAAGAGAAAGCCCAAGTGCTGCGGCAGCGGGAAGACCATGGCGAAGGGCCCCACAGCAGCAAGCGGGTCCACTGCAGCAGCAGAGGCCCACTTCCACAGGCCTTCTGATAGCTTCTGGAAAGACTTCTGAGGCCAAGCAGCGGCAGCACCAGCCGCAGCAGCAGCAGCAGCAGAGAGGCACTGTGTGAAGCATTTCAACTTCGGCGGAAATTGGCGCTCCAGTCCTCAAATCAAATAAAGAAATTAAAAATATTTAAGTATATTTATTCACATTTAAATATAAATGAACACATATATATATATATACAGATTTAGCACTATTTCTTTTCAGAAAGAACCTAAAGACAGAGCCACTGATCTGCAGCTTAAAGGCTGGCTGTTCAGTGGCCTGAGTTCTGCCTCTCGAATTAACTAAACACTTCTTTAGAATAAAAAAAACAATTAAAACAAAAAAGATATTTGCATGAGCCCTGGCACTGGAAAGCTTCATGGAGCCCCAGATATTCACTATAAAAGCCCCAGTGTAGAGCAGCAGCAAGCAGCAGCGAGCAGCAAAGCGCAGCAGCGAGCAGTAGCGTGCAGCAGCGAGCAGCAGCGCACAGCAGCGAACAGCAGAGTGCAGCAGCGAGCAGCAGAGTGCAGTAGAGAACAACAGCATGTAGCGGCGAGCAGCAGCAGGTAGTATGGAGCAGCAGCGAGCAGCAAAGCCCAGCAGCGAGCAGCTTGAAGCAGCAAACAGCAAGGCGCAGCAGCAAGCAGAAGCAGCAGCAGCAAGCAGCAGCCTTACTTGCTGCATGCGCCGCTCGCCGGCCTCGCCGAGGGAAGTCTGTGGGGGCAGCTGAAATGACAAAGAACTTTTAAGTGTTTTATAAGGCGAAGGCCAATTCAAAGAAGTGGCAAAAATGACAGACTGGATCGCCTCCAGCTCCACTGCCCGAGGCAGCGGACGGTAAGGCCGCCCTGCAGCAGCAGCAGCAGCAGCAGCAGCCGCAATGGTGGCAAGACGCGCGGGCAATAAGGCAAATAATAGGGCCTGGGGGCTCTTAAAGACAAGACCAAAAAGTATTAAATGAAAGCCTTAGAAGCCCGCCAGCCAGCAAGAACAGACAGCTGGCCACACTAGTGACCGTCGGTGAAGCCACAGCAGCAGCAGCAGCAGCGGCAGCAGCAGCAGCCGCAGCAGCAGCAGCCGCAGCGAGCAAATCGGGTCGTGCTGCATTGCGCTCCCCGCCTTTGCATGCATCTTTCCTCGTTTGCTGCTCTTTGTTTCTGCGGCCCTCTGCGCAGCTGATCTCAGCTTAAGCGCCGTCTCCGCAGCAGCAGCAGCAGCAACAACAGCAGCAGCAGCAGCAACAACAGCAGCAGCAGAACGAGCGACACACCAAGGATGTATGAGACCGTGAGTTTGACAGACTCTGTTTGCTGCAAAGGCCTCTCGAGTTGAACTTGGAAGACACTGGGCCAGCAGGGGGACTTGAAGTTGCTGCTGCGTCCCGCTGCTGCTGCAGCCAGCAGCAGCTCCTCCTTCTGCAGCAGCAGCTGCCGCTGCCCCCAGTCTTCCCAACTAAGAGATGAAATGCTTGGCAGAAAAGGAGACACAGAATGCATCTTTAGCTGCTTCCCATTTGCTGCCGAGGCTTTCATCCATCCCAGCTGCTCACAAGCCCCGCAAAAGCCACAAACCGATGCTGATGTTGCTGCTGCTGTTGCTGCGCTGCTGCTGCTGCTGCTGCTGCTGCCTGCTGCTGCTGCTGCTGCTGCTCCTGCACTGCTCTTGCGCTATTTTTAAGCTGTTGCTGCGCTGCTGCTGCTGCTTCTGCGTTGTTGGTAAGCTGCTAGTAAGCTGTCGCTGCGCTGCTGCTGCTGCTGCTGCTGCGCTGCTGCTGCTGCTGCTGCTGCTCTGCCTCACTTGCGTCGCTTCAGAGAAAGGCAACAAAATGAAAACAGAAGCAGCAGCAGCAGCTCCCTTGTTGTGCAGCTGCAGCTCGACGGTGATCTTCGCCTGACGGCCGAACTCGATGTGCCGCGAGACCTGCAGAGAGCAAGCAGCAGCAGCAGCAACAGCAGCAGCAAAAGAAACCTCTAAAATGTGGGGCATGTATGCAGGAATCGTGCAAAGGTGTTAGACGCGGCAGCCTATAGGAAGCAGCAGCAGCAGCAGCAATTTTTTGCAGTTGTTGGGAGTTGCTCCGAAGCAGCAGCAGCAGCAGCAGCCCTTGTTTGTCGCTTAGTTAGCTGCTGGAAAGCAACGGCAGCCGCAGCTGCAGCAGCAGGAACAGCAGCAGCAGCAGCTGTCCGTGGCTCCACCTCTTCTGCGACCAATCCAGAACGAGTGGCCTCGTGAAGAGCTGCCAAGGCGGGGTCCTGCAGCAGGCTGCGGCTTGCTGCTGGCTGCAGCTGCTGCAGCGCGAGCAGCAGCTGCTGCTGCTGCGCCAAATGCTGCAGCGCGCAGGCGGTGGAGTCGAAGGGCCGCGGCAGCGGCAAAGACATATCTGCTGCAACTGGGATTTCAGTTTCATCGAACTGGTAAAAGTCGCAAACTGAAGGAGTTGCTGCTGCCAGCAGCAGCAGCAGCAGCAGGGACCCCCCCAGCGAGAAACGCCGCTTAAAAATGCCCCATTTGCTTGCTGCAGCAGCACGAGGGCAACTGTGGGGTGCGTCAGCAGCTCTTCTGCTGCTGCTGCTGCTGCTGCTGCTCTCAGCTTCCCCACACCCCATGGAGCCCTGGCCCTGGGGGGCAGTTTGCATCTGGACGAAGCAGAAGCCTTAGCGGTTCCCTGCACCAGGCGAGTTGCTGCTGCTGCCGCTGTTGCTGCTGCTGCTTATAACACAAGCAGCAGCCCGCTGAGGCTGCCCCGCTGCACCTCAGAACAGCTGCATGCGTCAAGTGCAGCAGAAGGAAGGGGAAGGGCGGAGAAGAAGGGCAAGAGCTGGGGTGTATGTACAGCTGAGCCCAAGTCCGCAGCGCCCAGCTGTCAAAGGCACCCGCGGTGATCACGCAGGTAAGGGGGGGGCATTTGTCTCTTTTCTTTCTTTGTAGGCGTGGAAAAAGAGAATTAAAATGAAGGAAAAAACCGCAAATATCTGCAAATGAGCTGAGTGCCCGCGCTGTACAGGCAGCGAACTGCAGCGCCCGATCCAGTGAGACAGCCGTCGACTGTATACTCAATGCCTCGGGCTGTCACTACAGCTCAAACCGAGCACCACACAGACCGTCCAAACATTCTTATTTTATGGAATAAAATTTAAAAAAACACGTTTTTCCGAGAACAGTTGCTGCCTAAAATGCAGTAGCAGAGGAGGCCCAGGAGGCCCCCACGCCGGGCACTTGGAATCGACGGGGGCCCCCCAGTACCCCGCAGATCAGCTATTTTTGCCGCTATAACTGCATTTTTGTGTTATTAATTGAATTAAAAACTCATTTTACCCTGCAGAGTGAACAATGGCTGGCCCCGGGGGGCCCCCCTGCTTCTGGTCCCCGGCCATTGGGGTCCTCCCTGACGTGGGGGGCGGCCGAGGGGCTGGAGTTGTGGCCAAAGAATTCATAAAGGCCGGCAAACTACTCGCTCGCCAGAGTGGTCCATTGGTCTGGTCCGCTCGCGCGGCCCCAGACTGTCCCTGGTGCTGCGGCTGGGCCGCGTGGGGGCCCCCCTAGCCTAGTGACGTCCTGCGACCAGTGCCTCCGGCCCTACGACCACAGCCAGGGCCTTTTTGCTGCTGCTGCTGCAGCAGACGGGCGCGGTGCTGCAGCAGCTAAACGCTGCAGCGCATGCAAGGCCGTCACTTACTGCAGCACGGAGTGCCAGCGGGCCGCCTGGGGCCGCCACAAGGCCGAGTGCCCCATCTTCAGCCGTGAGCAGTGCTGCTGCTGCTGCTGTAGCTGCTGCTGCTGCTGGCGAGAACGGCCCAAGAGTGGCTTGAGCGGCCATTAAACCCTAAGCCCTAAACCCTAAACCCCCAGTGGTAAAGTACTGTTCCTTGACTAGCGGGTAGGAGAGCTCTGGTGCACCCGCGTGCTGTTGCTAATGTGTAGTGACGTGTTGCTGTCTGCTGCTGTTGCTGCTGCTGCTGCTGCTGCTGCTTTCAGATATAAGGAAGGCATCAGGAGGCAGGGGCCCCAACCTAACGCAGCGCTTGGCGGTACGGTTTCTTCTTGGTGGCCATTCGACTGCAGAGTTTACTGCGGGCCACGCAGCAGCAGCAGCAGCAGCAGGGGCTGTCAGCAGCAGCAGCGATGCCCTTTCGGCCTACCTGAGTGCTCGCGCTGCAGCTGCTGCGCTGCTGCAGCAGCTGCTGCTCTCCCTCGAGACAGCCCACGGAGGCCTGCAGGCCCTCGGGCTGAATTCGCTGCCTCCAGCAGAAGAGCTTGAGAAGCTGCTGAGTTGTCTCTCAGCCAACGTCTTCTCTATAACTCACCGGGAGGACTACGGGGGCCCCCGGGGGGCCCCTGGGGCCCCGGGGGCCCCCGGGGGCCCTCAGGGGCCCCCTTTTGGGGTCTGCCCGTGCTGCGAGCCCGGGAGAGAAGTTGCAGTTGGGCTGTATGGACAGCCGCTGTGTCGATTTAACCATTCTTGTCTTCCAAATGCTGCAGTTGTTTTTGGGGGCCCCCGGGGGCCCCTGGAGATGGCCATTTATGCTTCTCGTTCTATTGCTAGTGGTGAAGAGATTTGCATTTCTTACGTTTCTGCTGCTGCTCCGCGGGAGGAGAGGCGCCGGCGGCTGCTGCTGGCCTACGGCTTCAACTGCACGTGTGCCCTTTGCTGCAGCTGCAGCAGCGAGCCAGCGGCAGGCAGCAGCAGCAGCAGCAGCAGCAGCGGTCGCAGCGTCTGCAGCAGCACCAACACGTGCTGCGGCGCCCCCGCATCCGGCCCCAGTGCCAGCATCAACAGCAGCAACAGCAGCAGCACCACCAACAGCACCGCCGGCACCGCCAGCCCTAGCAGCCTCAGCAGCAGCAGCAGCAGCAGCAGTGGTCTGCCGGTTTCATTCTCTCCCGCTGAGGCTTTTGACCTGCAGCTCTCTGCTGTCTTCTGCCCCAAAGCTTCTTGTGTTGCCTTGCGCAACTCACCAGAAGCAGATGTATTGCTTCATTTAGAAAGAAACAGCCAGCGGTTTCTAGAAGGGGGCCCCCCTGGGGGGGCCCCCCATGCAGCGGGGCCCCCCTTCGGGGTGGGGGCCCCCCCTGGAGGGGGGCCCCCTCCTAAGAGAGCCCCCTCCTTGAAAGACCCGCGGTCCCTAGAAGCAGCAGCAAGGCAATGGAAGCTGCGGCTGCCGGTCTGCTGCATGCACAGGCCTGAGGCCAACTGCTGGGAGCCCCTGCGACTTTGCGCAGCAGAGCCAAGGTGGCCCCCAGGGGGCCCCCAGGCAGACTCCTCTGAAGAACCCAGTTTTCTTATCCTGCCTCAGATCCAGCGGTTGGGGGTCCCTGGAGAGAGGGTTCCCTCGGGGGCCCCCCAGGGGGCCCCCCTGGGGGGCCCCCCAGGGGTCCCCCTAGGGGCCCCGGGGCCTGCGCTTCGCTGCTGCATGTGCGAAGGCACTCTTGCTGCGGGAGAGGTAATGGGCCTCGCAGCGGTGATGGGGAAGCTGAGGAAAGCTGTTGATCGTTTTTGTTGCATCTGCTGCACTATAGATGCAGCAGCAGCAGCAGAGGAAGGAGCTGCGGTTCTGAAGCTGTTTGCTGCTGCTCGGGTGTACGTACACCCCGGGAACCTGCAGCTCAACGCCATTGCAGAGGACATACACCGCGCCTGCAAAGGTCTCGTGGCTGTTTACAACGGGCTGGGGCTGGCAGCAGCGCAGCAGCTTTCTCGTGCTGCTGCTGCGCTGCACGGCCGCTTCAACTCCCAGCGCGCTGAGCTGCTGCTGACGGAAGGCTCTTTGCTGCTCTTCCTTGCCCAATCCGACACTGAGGCGGAGGCGAGGAAGGCTTGGCAGCTGTGTGTGGAGGCCGACGGTGCGGCGGAAACAGCGCCCGCAGCAGCAGCAGCAGCAGCAGCAGCAGCGGGGGCGCTGGAGGAGGAAACAGGCTCGGAAGCAAGAGCCAAGCTGGCTCTCCAGGCCCGGGAATGTCTGCTGCAGGCCTGCAGCATCTTCTTCTCTTTCGAAGGCAGCAGCGCCGAAAGGAAAAAGGGGCGGCTGGCAGAAGAAAGACTGGCAGATTGCGAAAGGGAATTGGCCGCTCTCGGCTACGACCCTTAGCAGCATTTAGCCAGCTAGCTAGCTAGCTAGCCAGCTAGCTAGCTAGCTAGCCAGCAGAAAAAGCGAAAATTCCGGCAGCTAGATAGCTGGCTAGCTAGCTAGCTGGCAAGCTAGCTGTCTAGCTAGCCGGTTAGCTAGCTAGCTACATATCTGTTTGTCTACCTGTCTGTTGCAGTATCTCTCTGTATCTCCAGCTAGCTCCCCCCGCGTTGTGGCAGCTGCCTCGCTGCACTTTTTCAAAAATGTTTCTTCTGATTCGCTTTCTTGCGCCTCTTCGCCGCAACTTTGGACTTTATGTTCCTGGTGTTGCTGCAACAATTCGACTTTTTTAAAAATCCGAAAAACCAAAAAGGAGGTGCATGCAAGCATCACCTTTCAAGCTGCTCCAGGTGGCGATACACCCCACGGACTTGGCAAAATCAACATCTCTGTTGGGGAATTTTTTAGAAATGTTTTCATCTGCTGCTTCTGCTGCCGCTTCTCCTCCGCCTTTATCTGTTCCCTCGGCGCTCCGCCTTGTTCTTTCGTATTCGTTTCGAATTTTATATTCGAAATAACCTTTTAAATTTACTTTTGGCAGTTTTAGAGAGCACTTGGCACAAAGGCAAAGAAAAGCCAACAGCCACAAGCTCCAGCGGCCCAGTTTCCACTTCGTTTCTTTTTGCCCTAGCTAGCTAGCTAGCTTGGCCCTTTGCTAGCTTCAGCCCTAGCTTAGGCCCTAGCTAGCTCGCTCAGGCCCTAGCTAGCTCAACTAAACCTTATATGGCTAGAACCCTGGATAGCTAAAGCGAGTTTAAAACCCTAGCTAGCTTAGACCCCCTTGCTGGCCTAGACCCCTGGCTAGCTTACCCCCACTAGCTAGCTCAAACCCCCGAGCTAGCTTAGACCCCCAAGCTAGCTTAAAACGCTAGCTAGCTGAGTCCCTAGCTAGCTGAGTCCCTAGCTAGCTGCGCCTGCAGCTAAATGAATCCTTAGCTAGCTGAGCTGCAGCTAAAGAGGCCTCGGGCTGGGCCAGCAAACTAATGGCATTTTCTTTAACTCAAGTCCGGCCTGCTGCGGCCCCCGCAGCAAAGCTGCCTGTGGGCGCCGCTTGGCTGGCTGCTGCCTTCAGCTGCAGCGCAGCAGCAGCAGCGCAGCGGCAGCAGCAGCTGCCCAGCAGCAGCCCAGCAGCAGCGGTGCAGCAGCAGCAGCGCAGCAGCAGCAGCGCGGCATCAGCAGAGCAACAGCTCAGTAACAGCGGAGCCTCTAAAGCTAGCCAGGATGGGAGCAGCAAAAAGTCTTAATTCAACAGCCTGCCTCTTGCATGCGGGGATTTTTCCGTTTGAATTTGCTGGGAGAGGCAGGGGGTTACTCAAAGAGATTTAAAAGAACCATTTGCGGACTTTTTCGGGAAAAACCAAAATGAAAGCTTGTTTCATTCACTGGGAAAAAGGGCAAAAAGGGGCCCCACAGCCGCCGCTGCTGCTCTGCTGCTGCGCTGCTGCTGCTCTCTTCAGAGAGCTCCGAGAAGCGAAGAACCAGCGCCAGCGGTTGCTACTCCTCAGCTGCCCCTCGGAAGGCACCCAAAACCCTGCGGCCCCTTGCGAGCCCCCAAGGGGCCCCTCGGGGGCCCCCGAGGGGCCCCGGGGGGCCCCGGGGGGCCCCGAGGGGCCCCGGGGGCCCCCAAAGGCCCCGAGGGCCCCCGAGGGGCCCCGAGATTAGGGGGCCTGGAGCCCTGGGGCCCTGCGGGTTCTGCGGCTCCGCCTTTCACTTGGGGGCGTTCTTCAGCCAGCGCCAGAGGGAGGCGTAGACATTGGGGGCATATTGTGTTCTTTTCACGTACATGTAATCCAGACAAACATCAAACCTGAAAAAGTGGCAGAAACGCAAATAAAAGGCAGTTTTCAGGTGTACATACACCCCAGACTCGCACAGAAACGAACCCCAGCGCGGCGCCAGCGAACCAGCGCAGCAGTGCAGCAGCACAGCAGCACCGCAGCAGCACCGCAGCAGCAGAAGTAGCGCAGCAAAACTGAAGCAAACTTCATTTGGAACCTCTGTGGGCTGCTGCTTGCCATTCTTTTCGCCGCGGAACTGTCAGCGCTGCGAAGGAGAGAGAAGAACCCGCAATCCAACAGAGCGTCGAGCTGAGACGAGCGCCTGGCAGCAAAAAGACGCAAAGAGCCCATCGCCCAAACTCTAGGCCTTTGAAATAGGCTCAGAGCCCAAGAGGAAGAAGATCAGAGCACGCAGCAAGCTAGCAGGCTGGGTCTGCAGCAGCTGCAGCAGCAGCAAGCGGGCAGCCGCCTGCTGCCACAGCTAGCCACACTTCTCACCGAAACCTGCAGATCCTGTTCTCCAAGATTCGACTGCAGCTGCCTCGCCCGCCGCCGCGGCCTCCCCCCGTTTCTTTCCCAGCGCCATTTTCTTGCTTCTCTGCTCCCCCGCTGCGCGTGGCTCTTGTCCTTTTGACTCCTTCCCGCGGCTATTTCCACTTCTTTTGCCACTTTTTATTGTTTTATTTAGCTACTTTTCAGCTTCTTGGCCCAAAAGGCGCACATGTATGCTCACACCCCAGCTGCTAAAGGCGCCGTAGGCGGCGGCGGCGGAGCCAGCGCCAGCTAATAGCCCAGTGGGGCCCTCTCTGCCCTTTAAATAAATGAAATGTGCTGCAAACAACTGTAAAACCTCAAAATAGGGTGTTTAGGAAAAGTTCCAGTTTAATTCCACTCAAGCAGCCCCATCAGATGCATGCATATGCAAACATGGAGCAACTGTTGCTGTGTGGATATGTGCTCGCCAGACATTCTCGTCTATGTAGCTCCACGTGTTATAGGGATTACTCCAATAGGTTGATGCATTTACACCTTAGGCTTTCTCAGGCCACTTCAAAACGGTGCCGTCCTAGCTAAGCGCGCCCACAAGATCTGACGGAGTGGAGGCTCGCCTTTGTCTGCTCCTTCGCATTAAGAACAAACAGAAGTTTCCAAATTTTATTCGAGTTCATGACAAGCTCGTTACAGAATTATGGCCTCATTATTTGCTCTGCCGCGCCGCTCCATGCCTGCTTTCTACTTCAAACAGAGTTTCGATAGCCTGTTCCCTGATGCGACCTCCAGGGAAAGTTGGTTGAAAATTTGCCGAGCTCCTTTATTTCATGCTTCTTCTAATTTTTTCCCTGTTGGATAGCTGTTGGTGGCTTTATTTTAGTTTGGCATACAATTGTTTCTAATTTAGTTGTCGCTCAGGCGCAGCTCAGACTCTTCAGCTGCGACAGAGCGTAATCCTTAGAGCTTCCCAGGCACTGCACTCGGTAGTTCTTCCTTCTGAGCAGAACGTCGCTAATTTTCCCTATACATACGCACACTTTTGGACTCTATCTGATACACCGCCTCCTGTTTAGCAAGTCGGCCACTAGTTGCAGAGTATCCAGATGATGGAACTATTGACAGTGTGGTGTCACTTGGACAATAAAGCTTCCTCTAGCACACGCTTCAGGAACAGCTTGCCTAACTGGAACTTTCTTTACCATATGCGAATGGGTCAATACTTCGCGAGAGTTTTTGTTAACCCTTTCTCTCCCGTGGTTCTCCAAGATGCTTCCTTCATACACGTTCTACCTAGGTTATTCCGTAAGGGCGCCCGCTCCCTGTTGGGACTGGAAAATAAAACTGTTCTTTTCTTTTACTTATTTTCATGAGTCCAGTGGCTGCAAAAAGTTTGTGTTTGGCTCGCACGATTAGAAGTGACGATGGTCCATCAGTGTGATGGGACAACTTGTTAAGTGCGCTGCCGTCTTGGATTTCGAGATATTCTGTTATAAATTTGTGCATGTTTCGAATGCAGCCAACTGAATATGTGAAACCAGGGGGCTATGCTAGAAACACCACGAAACTGTGTTCTACGCACTGGAAGCAGGGTTCCTGACGACATTCGGTGGGCCTGGTGAATCTTCCATAACAGGGCGACCCCGGTGAATACCATGTGGATACTCTGCAACTAGTGACGGACTTGCAGTTGCGCAAAACTATCGCAAGGTTGGTGGGAGGTCGTAGAGACAAGCTGAAGAATGGAAAGTAATGCCTCTCAGAATGACATACAAGCCCGGCAAATTTCAAGCTGAACTGAAACTTACATTAGATTTTTGAGTTCGATCTGTGCGCCGAAAGCATGTTCCCCTCGTAGGATCCCACTTTCCAAACCACAATCGTACGGAAAACACAAGGTCAACGCTAATTTGAGGCTTCAAAGTCCAGTGTGCAATCACCGGGATGTTGCCTCAGGTAAGCAGGTGCTACCAACAAACAGCACATCTTCAAATGCCTCACTCGGAAAATTTGCCTTGAAATCCAATTCCATTTGGGCATTCTCCTCTCCCCGCGGACCCTTGGCAACTGGCGTCAAACACTACACTACAAAGCAGCCATATGATCTCTTCAGACTCTTAGTAGTAGCAGCGCAGAGCTGCACGACGCTTGTGCACGGGTTCCCACACTAGTATAAACCTGAGAATGGAACATTCTCTTGCGCTCATTCTACCTGCCTAATTTAGTCAGAGTTCGACGGACACAAACACGTTGCACAAATGTCGTTGTACTCGTCGGATTAGTGGTACCGGGGAAAATTTACCCAGAATTAATGTATCTGCCCTCTTCTTGTTACCGTTTCTAGGTCTTCTAGTCATGCTGGAAGGTTGAGAGGAAAACAAAGCTTCTTGTGATTGAAAGCTTCTTTCATCTATCCATCTTATTATACAAAAAACACCATGAAAACATCACGATCCTGGGCTCAAACGCACACAGGCTTACAATTCGGAATACGACACTGTGACATTCTACCCCATGCTCATGGCAACGAAATACAGCTTTGTGGTTGAAGGAGCTGATCTTAGCAAACTTCATTGGCTCAAGAGAAGTCACAAGCGAATAAGCTGCTAGACTTTCGAAACAGAAGGCCACATCCAGGTTCATTCGGTACGAGAGCAGCACCAAGGTAAGCCAGTTCACCACATAAGACAGCCAGAGCAGTTTATGAGTTGGACGAGCTTTTAATGCTGTGTAGGTAAAAGAACAATGGCATGCATCCGTACCAGGTAGTGAACGCTGACGCACGTTTGCATCAGTACTTCCCAGCTACCATACTTTTAGGTTTGGTGCGACTCGCCAGGTAGGCCACCCCTCCTTTTGTGTTAGTAGTTGGCGACAGTGATTTTGTGAAACTTGGCGTGGTCAAACCCAACGCCTTGTCGCTGAGGGGGGACCGCTGCACGAGAAGAGCTATTTTTTTCAGCTACGGAGCATACCTGGCCGTTAAAAGTGTTTTTGCCGGTGCTCTCACAAGATCGAAAGCACAACAGCTTGTTTATAATGATAAATGAAATGTTCAGCGCCTCTCTTTACGCGTCACAGAATTCAAGTGCGCAACGAGGAAAGTGAATCTAGCACAGCAGAACGCTACTGAGCCTTCGAATTATTGTCTTTGTAACACATTTAGTAAGGGAGACCAGGCGTCAAAAGAACTGTAGGGAGACGGATGAACACACCTCCGACTACGTGCCTTTGAACCTTTACACTGTGATGCATTGCAGTCAGAGACTGCTTAGTGAAACAAAGAATGCCAGACACGCAACAAAGGAAGTCGCCCGGGTAAGCAAGAGATCATGAACTACTGAATAGCCTAAAATTTATCAACCCATGTAGGCGTGCGTTGGCCCCACAAACGGAGCATATGTGGCTGCCCAGGCAGTAACCCAATAGGCTCCCATTAGCTACGGAAGTAATGCCCTCATCGAAACACCACAGACTTGGTGCTTCCGATGTGCTGTTTTTAAATGCTGTCTAGGCTGAATGGAAAACCCCAGCGCGTCTGGAATACCATCGAACACCGTCGTGCAGCCCTACTGGTGGGGAGAACGGAGGCCAGTCGACTCGTGAAAAAAAGCAAATGAAAAAAAATGTTGAATAAAAGACCTACCAGGATGTAAGAAACATCGTATGGAGGAAAGCATTCTTTGAAACAGTCGGACCAGAAGAGGGGCTGGGAAGTGAGCGTCCGACAACAGTGACCGGAAGTTACATCGACACCTAGGCCATCTCACGCGAAATGCTGTGGAGAACAGCTCAACAATTTTTGAAATGCTATCGTTTATTTAACACTCCCATATAGCCCCTAACAATTCAGCTGCATTGATCAAGTACGGGACCGGAGAACTTCCTGCCACCAACTGTGTGTGCGTGTACTGGCCATTTGGTCTCATAGATGATGTGTTCTAGAGAAAGGAAAAGCTACTAATGAGTTGGACCATCTATGCTGCATTATGGCGTTTATGTATGCTTTTATTTTGCTTGGATGAAAATGATTGTGAAGGAGGACTCTAAAACGTGTGGAGTGGCTGTAGAAGGCTCGTTAGTTGGTACCCACCACGCAAAGAACACGTGGGAGCGGGACCGTCCCTCGTTCCAAGCTGCAACCATTACCGAGGGTAGCCAGAAAATGAACAGGCATGCATTTTTCCTTCTCTCATTTGATGTACAGGAACGATTTAACTGCCATTTATAGCATGCGGTTCGAATGGATTTCCGTTTCCAGGACTTCTCAGCTTTGAGACTGGCCGTCGCAAAGATCTTTCCTAAATCCTCTCGATCATACACTTGAAACTGAAGTCAATGAATCGAGCTTCACCTTTTAAGGCCTAAAGATATGCCCCGATGTGACGGCGTCTCCGGGTACAGCTCTATTGACGTTTGGGGCCCTGCTGTCGTGGAATGTGTTTGAAACGTACTCAAAAACCCTCAGCCGCATCATTCGTGGGAAACTTGCCTATTTCACGACTTTAACGATTTGGGGCCCAAGACCTGCGAAAGTATGTTTTAATTACCACAGCCTTCGTCTTTGACAGGAATCTGAAGGCACGCAACGGCAATCAGGCAACAATGGGAGACTTGTTTCTCGGTACCGGTAACCAATTACAGAAGAAAAATGCCGTCTTACATCTTCACAGCATCACCACTCGGGCATTCAAGGGCGTGGACCACATTTCTGTGGTCATGCTGGCCGCCGTTGTAGTAGTTGCAGTGGCTATGGTTTTCGTTCTCATGCAATGCTTCAAGCTTCTTCACACAACGCAGAACAAAGCAAACTACAAACTTCCAAGGCGAATACTCGTAGAAAAGGACAAAGACATGTGCAATGTTGACGTAAGCTCTTCACCGAAATGAAACTGTCTTCCCACCGAAGCCTAACAGACCGGAGTATTTTACGCATTCCTGGGACAAGATACGCAAAAATCCACCCACGAAGGCAAAACAACAGACTGATTCTTGGTCAGCGCGATGCAGTCACCTGAGTCGCCACAGGTTGCCTACTATTAACTGCAAGCAATCTACTGTCAAAGAGGTGGGATGGGAGGCCGCTTTTTAGGTGCA